CACACACGCACACACACGCACACGCACACACATTTACGCCGATCCCCCTTTGGGATACCTTCGCGACCAACCTCACTCACATTCGCCCCTCGCGCATGTCCACAGTCGACTCCGGTGGTGCCAACCTCCCCAACCAGGCGGACGTCTTCCCCGACAAGGAGCACTTCGGCCGGATTTTCTACAACCAGGCTACCATGTCCGCGGCCGGCATTCCGCAGATTGCCGTGGTCATGGGCTCCTGCACGGCCGGTGGTGCGTACGTCCCGGCGATGGCCGACGAGTCGATCATCGTCGCCAACCAGGGCACCATCTTCCTGGGCGGTCCGCCGCTGGTGCGCGCGGCCACTGGTGAGGTGGTCTCCGCCGAGGATCTGGGCGGTGCCGACGTGCACACCCGCGTGTCTGGTGTGGCCGACCACATGGCCGTGGACGATGCCCACGCGCTGGCCCTCACGCGCCGGCTCTTCCTGAACCTGAACCAGCGCCCGGGGGCGGACATTCGCACCCGGCTGCCGGTGCGCGAGCCGATCTACAACCCCGAGGAGATGTACGGCATTGTCGGCGACAACCTGCGCCGGCCGTTCGACGTGCGCGAGGTCATCGCCCGCATTGTCGATGGCTCGGAGTTCGACGAGTTCAAGGCCCGGTATGGCACCACCCTGGTGACTGGCTTTGCTCACCTCCATGGCTACCCGGTCGGTATTGTGGCCAACAATGGCATCCTCTTCGGCGAGTCGGCCGTCAAGGGTGCCCACTTCATCGAGCTCTGCGCCCAGCGCAAGATCCCCCTCATCTTCCTTCAGAACATCACCGGTACGCAGACGAGGACAAGGCAACTGGTGTCGGTCATGTCCCGGAGGGAGAGACCCCTGCCCCGCCTCGCCCCGCGCCCCGCCAGGAGACGCATCTATGCAGCCACCACTGACCGTGAGCATTTACTTCCCCCTCCCCCCCTCCCCCCCCCCCTGTCCTCCCTGGCCGGGCACACTTTCCAGGCTTCATGGTTGGCCAGTCCTACGAGCATGGCGGTATCGCCAAGCACGGTGCCAAGCTGGTGAATGCGGTGGCTTGCGCGAATGTGCCGAAGTTCACCGTGGTCATCGGTGGCAGCTTCGGTGCCGGCAACTACGGCATGTGCGGCCGTGCTTACGGCCCTCGGCAGATGTGGATGTGGCCGAACTCTCGCATTTCGGTCATGGGTGGCGAGCAGGCCGCTGGCGTGTTGACCACCGTGGCCCGCGACCAAGCCGAGCGCTCTGGCAAGGAGTTCTCCACCGAGCGCGAGCGCTCCATCGCCGAGCCGATCCTTGCCCAGTACGAGCATGAGGGCCATCCTTACTTCTCCAGTGCCCGGTACGCATGGGCGAACCTTTCCCCCCCAAAAGCCTCCGCCTCTCTGTTGCCGGAATATTGCCATGCCCCCTGTGTCTCTTTTTTTTTCTTTCCCCGCCCGAGAGCCGCCCATCAGGAGGCAGGGAAGGGGATGCTGCCCCTATGTCGATGTGTCTCCGCCTTGACTAACCCCCTTCGGCTTGGCCCCTCACCCTGTGCCCAACACTGCACCTTCGCAGCCTCTGGGACGATGGCATCATCGACCCGGTGGACACCCGCACCGTGCTTGGCCTTGGTCTGAGCGCCGCCATGAACCAGCCCTTCGACAAGGAGGATACCCGCTTCGGTGTCTTCCGCATGTAAACGGAAGAGCCACACCAGCTGGGACGGGGGCTGGGTGGGGCCATGTCCGCCCCCGCCCCGGTCCCCTCTTTCCTCGGGAGGGTGTCGGTGCGCATGATCCGCGATATACCTTCCCCCCTCCCCCCGGTGTCGCGAATGTCGTGCCGGTGTCGGGCCTCTCTATGCAAAAACACTGCCGCTCCTTTCCCCCAACTTTCGCGCAGAGAGAGCCCTCCTCCCTCCGGCCTCTCCACTGTCCGTCGATTCCCTCCCCCTCCCCCCCCCTCTCTCTCTCCCCTTCTTCCCTTGTCTTTCCCACCGCAGTGCATGCGCACTCGCCCCCTCGCCACTTCTGTCGCCCAGAAATAAATCCACCCTCCTGACGGGGGGGGGAGGGGAAGAGAGAGAAAGAGAAAGAGAGTGACAAACACAAATAGACACGTTGGACCGAAAAGGCATGTAGAAAGGGCCATCTACAAATCCAGAACATGGGCGTGATATCGGCGCACGTGCCGGCGGGGTCTGAGGCGAGTCGGTATTCGCTCCCCGGGCGGGGACGACCTGGGGCCGGGGTGACGGCGGCTGTGGCGAGAAACCGTAGGCCGTGTCGGAGCCCCTCTCCCTATTCTCTCCGGACGCCTGCCCCGCGCCCCGTCTCCCGCCCTGCTTCAGGTCTAGCTCTGGTGGATGATCGACCGGAGTGCATGGCGCCGGGGCTCCATATGTTGGCGAGGGGAGGCGGGGGGGGGGGGGGGGGGGGGGCAGGACCAAGTTC